TACTTTACAGTTTTTTTCAAGCCATTTCACATTGTTATCTTTTTTGAGTTCTGAGAGTGGACACAGGATGTACCATCTCTGTTCTACAGGTAAGGAAACCAGCTCAGAGAGGGTAAGGGGTCTGCCCACAGCTACACAGGTCAGAGGTGGCAAACCTGGCCATCTCTTGGGTTTTCTAATCCTAAATCTAGTGCCCCATGACCAATGTACGCTGCCTATTACACAAAAGAATTACAATTCCTGCCCAAGATAAATCAGGCAAAGCCCATGGTTAGTCTTGTTCTGTTCCAGGTGTCAAAAGCATGGAATTGATCACTTTTGCAATCCGATGCTTTTTATCTTGCAGACAGGGTCATCGTGCAAGAAGCCTATGTTTCTATTCCAATTTTACCTCCGACGACTTCATGGGTTGTGGTGAGATGGCGGTTCTCTGGAAATCAATCATGCCGTAGGAGGATGCTACAGGTTGATAGCACCTGTGAGCAAGGATGCAGTTCTTACATCTTTTGTTTCCTTTCTAGGGCCCGCACTCTACCCTCACTAGGTGGACCAAGGGCCGGGTGTACGTTTCTATCATGGGCACAGTGTCTGTCACACAGTAGGTGCTCAGTAAATATCTGAATGAACCAAACATCAGGGCAGGGACCCAAGGCATGGCCAGATTTAGGTGTCTCACTTGATGATCCTTCTCAATGTTCCCCAGCTGGTTGGCTCTCCAAGGCCTCCCCTGCCCACATCAGCACCGGAGGCCCCTCGTATCTCACCACCACAAAGCTGTCTCTAGCACCTAACATTACAGACAAACGCAGCCAACATGGAAAAAGTGAAGTTTGAGGCTCTGCCCCTCTTTGCTGAGTACAATGAATCCTGCAGGACATGAACATGACTGAGGAGTCTCACACGCACTGGGGCTGAGGAAAGAATTCTCAGGGACTGGCAGTGTACCCTTCTTGAGGCTGCAAATTCTAACACCTTGTGCTACAGTTAGCTTTCCCCTATTCAGTTACCTCGTCTTGTTGTATGGGCCTGCTCCAACATGGTTCACTTACAATCGTTAAAACGAACTTCCAGATCTGACCAAGAGCCATCTGGCCTTTGGCAGAGAGCTGTGGCAATCTGGGAAAGAGCCAATTTTACCCTCAGCTTGTAACATAGAGAAGACATGTAAGAATAGCCAGCTGCCCATATCTAGGTCTAGACTGCCCTTAAGATGACTCAGGAATACTTACAAAAATAAGATATTTGTGCGTGTGGCTTAATTCTGAAATTTGGGGGCTGAGAGGATCTTGCGATGGGTGTTTTGTCCTCGGAGCCTCATGAGGCCCCAAGGCTCGTCATGAGATGCAATGTTTTCAGGCTGGGAGAGGAATTCGGGTGCGACCCAGCTCTCAGTAAGGAGGGCACGAGCCTGGTCAGGTTCTGAAGCCAGAGAACCTGCTATCGCTTGTCATGTCACAAGCAGTGAAAGATCGTTGCTCAGTATTGGAGGAACAAAAAAGTAAGACCTTGCCTTTATGTGGCCTCAGGTTTGTTTACAAATGTAAATGGAGTAGAAGAAACTTGTTGGGAAGGAAATAGGATGAGGCCTGATCACCTATATTAGGAAAAAAACTCAGGGGAAAACACAGACCTGAGTAACAGCTTGTGGATCCCTATAACCTGGGGTAGGTGCTGGGTCTTCCCCCAGGAAGTGTGTGTGCCTCTGTGATAGCTAAGAACAGATGGAATCAGACTGTCCTAAGGTCAGAGAGAGGTCCGGGTGTGTAGCCCGCAGCATTCCGCCAGGGTTAGTCCATGGAGGTTAAACACCCGGTATTGGCCACAGGAGCTTTCGGTGTATGAATCACTCAGAGCAGGGATCACAGTGGGGTCTGAGGACAGGGCCGTTCTAGGAACTGGTCGCTAGCAGTGCTTGATGAGCTAAGTACAAAACTAAGGGTAAGTTTTTAGAATGTTTTGTAGCAATTGACCAAATACTTTTATTTCTGTTAAAAGTGAAAAAAAAAATTTTTAAAAGAGGGCTTGTATTTTGTATGTCATTTTTTAAATTTCATTTTTTCTATTAATTTATTTTCATTAAATTTCTGTGAAAAATTGGAAATAAAAGATTATAGGTCTTTCACTAGTGGTGATTTGAGAAGCACCAATTAGATGGCAGGAGGGTGTTCTATGGGGTAGATGGTGAATCAACAGTCAGGATGAAGGGAACTCAGTTAAAGCCAGGCATCCAAGGAGGGCTTCCTGGAGGAGGGACTCAAGTTGGACTTTGAAGAATAGGCGAGATCTTGACAAATGGAGAAGACCCTCAGGTCACCCTTACGACCATAGAAGAGAAGGTCTTGGTATAGACGTGTTTGCAGGCTGCTTCTAGTGTGCATAGATTTTGTTTCTTTCTCACAGGCTCATTTCTCTTTCTCGCATTCTCTTCATCTTCCTCTTCTTCTTTGTGGAAACGGCAAAGCACTAACTGGAAAAAGAGTTAACTGAACATCCGCTCTCCGTTTCAGGAGCAACAGAGAATCCCTTGGGGTTCGTATCTGCGGACCCTGACATGTCTCTATGGTCATCTTTCCGCGGCCGAAGGAAGGTAGGGCAGAAGGATGGGATGGGGGGCTCTTCGCAGCTCCCCAATCAGGACTACGAGGCCCTGAAGAAGAGGTGCCTGAGGGACGGCTGCCTCTTTGAAGACAGCACCTTCCCCGCCACGCTGAGCTCCATCGGCAGGGGGCCTCTGCTGCGGAAGCTGCCTCCCCACCTGCAGTGGAGGAGGCCTCCGGTAAGGGGCTGGGAAGGGGGCTTCTGAACAACGCACACAAAGTGTGTCCACCCAGACCTTTCTTCCCAGGGCGCAGGGCTTTCTTAGGATGCCACGTCTAACTCACTGTTATTGATCCCCATGTGAAGGGAACAAGGTTAAGTCCCCACATCCTCATTTTCCAGAGAAAACCGGGGGTGATCCTGAGAGGGGCCTAAGATGAAGCTCTCCCTCAGACCAGAAGTACACAGAGCAGCTGCAGCCAAAACTATATCTAGGTACTGTCTGGTTTCATCGGAGATGGCAAGGAATCCTGAGTCACTGCCAATGCCATCTGCCGGAGGGACAAATTTTAACATATCATCACTCCCCTCTCCCCAAATCAGGCTCATGAAGCACATAAATTAAGAAGCTATTAATCAGTTTATAAAAGTATTCTTCACTTTATAAAAGCATCAACAATTCCTTTAAAAGGTAACTTTTAAGTGTATTCAAAAGCAGTTAATTTCCCCAAGCTTGAGTTACACACAAGATTCCAGAACATGGTTAGTGAGCGGAATGAAGTCAGCTTGTGCTAGAGATTCTCCCCTTTGTTGCTCCCTAATCAGCCGTCACTATCAAAGGCTGCAGCCCCAGACTTATGAAGTCCCTACCATGTGTAAGATTCCCAAGTGCACCTCCTGAACTAGAGAGCAGCCATGATTCTACTCCCAGGAATCTTGTGAACTGCTGGCATACAGTTTGTCACACATGTGACCTTGGGGGAATGCAGAGACTGAGGGTTAAGGCTTGCCGTGGCCCCACATCTCAGCACAGAAAGCCAAAGAGAGTGTTATCATGGGTGTTGGGGTGGGAAGGAGGAGTAGGGGGAGAATAAGAATGGAAATAAGAACGGGAAAACTGAGAATGCCCTCTAAAAGAAGTGCTTCCATTTTTAACAGAAACTCTATGAAAAGGCATTATTGGTGAAAGTGCTATTTGTTAATATATAGACAGAGTTCTCTAGGGCTCTGACTTACATGAGTTTTAAGAAGGAATAAGGAATTCAATGAGCAGAATGTATGTGCCAGATGTTCTGGAACAGCCCTGATTTTACGTATATTCTATACCTATGTCCCCATAAGTCCAGTTCGGGGGTATGGGACCCTATTGTCACTGTAGCTCCAAGAGCAGCTTTTTGGTCAGAAGGACAATTCTGTCTGTCCCTGCAGGAGCTGCACAGCGATCCCCAGTTCTATTCTGCCAAGGCCAAAAGGCTGGACCTGTGCCAGGGATTGGTAGGTAAGTCTGCACAGCTCCTGGAGACACACGCCTGGCACCTGTGAGCCTGGTCCGGCCAAGGCAGAGTCGGGCAGGAAAGAGGAATCAAGAGACCCCAATGGGTGAAATGACCCGTTCACCTTGACTCGCTGTGTCCTGTTCTGGGAAAATGATAACAGCTGATCCTGTAGGGATGCACGGGGATGTCAAAACCTGCCTAATGATAATCCTCGTTACTGGTTTCCAGGTCTCAGTTTTGTCCTGGGAAAATGTGCTCACTCTACTTTAGTTTCCATAATGAGCCCTTCTTGGCACACCAGTCACTAGACACCCCACAACAGTGTCCAAGAAGGCCTATTCTCACTTCAGCTTTCTTTTATAGAGTAATATAAACAACCCTTAGCTCTGAGGGAAGGCACAAATGTAGTGATACTCATTTCACAGACAGGGAAATGGAGTCTAGAGGGTTAAGGTTTTCCCCCAAAGAGGTAAATCATTACAGCAGGACTTAGAAGTTTGGTTGTGTTGGGTACAGGGCATCCAAGAAGCTAACAGATGGGGCATCCAAGAAGCTAACAGATGATTCAGGAATATGGCCCAGTTCTTAGTGGCAAGTCTGGATTCCAGCCAATGTCCTTCCCCTTCTCTATACTCTTCTCACTCACCCTCTTTCTCCCTGGTATATAATTCCCTTCTCTTAAGCTAGTTTACAAGCCCAGAGAGGATAGTAATTGGGACCAGGCATTTCTTGCATGCAAGTAATCCTCAGTAGATTCATGCAGACACTTGTAGACTGTGCATGCATGTACCGTACATCCATGCGGATACTTGTAGAATGTGCATGCATGTATAGTACATCCATGCAGATACTGTGTGCTGTCTGGCTTAGGTGACTGCTGGTTCTTGGCTGCTTTGCAAGCTCTGACTTTGCACCAGGACTTCCTGAGCCGCGTCGTTCCTCTGAATCAGAGTTTCACTGAGAAGTATGCCGGCATCTTCCAGTTCTGGGTGAGTGTTCCCCCTGTGCCCCATCCTAGAGGTGTACATAGAAAAGAAGGTTCTTGGAAGAGTCACGTCTCTGTCTCCTGGGCTGACCATCTTCCATGGCAATCTTCACTCACCAGTGGACACTCTCTCCTTCCAGTTCTGGCACTTTGGGAAGTGGGTTCCTGTCGTGATAGATGACCGACTGCCTGTGAATGAAGTTGGCCAGCTGGTCTTTGTCTCTTCCACCTACAAGAACTTGTTCTGGGGGGCTCTTCTTGAAAAGGCCTATGCTAAGTAAGACAAAGAATATTCCCTGTCCCACCTCCACCCCTCCCTGTCTCTTTGTCTCTCTCAACAATATTGAGGGAGAGCAAGAGGAGGTAGGTAAAGTTTATGAAGTGAGATACTGACACATGATTCAGTGAATATAGAAGTGATATATCCAGAGTCTTTTATGGAGAGGTCACTCCATCTGATTAGTGTTCAGGAGTTTTGCATTCCCTAATGGATAGAATTGTTAACAGAGACAGGAACTCCCCCTTTGCCCCTGGAGTAGAAGGAAGAGGTAGCAGGCACATGCCTAGGGAATAATCAAGCACAGGGCTCACGAGGCCATTGGGACCATCCCAGGCTGCAGTATAAATGCCCCTTCCCTTCTCTTCCCACATTTACTCCTTTCCTGGGCAGGCTCTCTGGCTCCTATGAAGACTTGCAATGTGGACAGGTTTCTGAAGCCCTTTTGGACTTCACCGGAGGGGTGACAGTGACCATCAAACTGGCAGAAGCCCCTAGAAACCTCTGGGACATCTTAACCCGAGCCAACTACGGCAGAACCCTCATCGGCTGCCAGACTCACTCAGGGGTGAGACCGGGCTGGGCACTGGCAGGTTGTCCTTCTCCCCTGCTGCCATCCTCTTCACCTGCCAGTTGCTGCTCACACCTCGGTGTGGCCCCAAGACTTCACCACTCCTGCACCTACAGTCCCGATGTTCAAAGCAGAGCAGCCTCAGGGCTGGGAAGGCCACTGTAGGATACGGGTAGCATGCAGAGAACGGAGCTGGCAGTTGAGTGTCAACCACATGCATGGTATTTTCCTAGCATAGTTAGTCTTTACTATATAATTTAGTAACAACCAAGAACATGGAACTGGAGTAGGGAATCCTGGGTTCAGCTGTGTCTCCACTAATGACCATTGTGTCACCTCTCATGACAACTTAGCGGCTCTGAATCTGAGTTTGTCCCCTGTAAAGCGAGGATATAATCACTGTAGAGTGGCACCCTGACTTAAAGGCTCAAATGAGCCTGTAGGTGCTAAGGAGCTATGAAAACTGTAACACGGTGCAGTGTACTGTGGGTTTCTCCCACCTGCTCTTCGTAACCCCTTGCTCCAGCCAAGTGGGTCTCCACGACTCCTGGATAAGCTTGACACAGCAGAGGACTGACAGGAGTGCTCTTGTCTCTACAGGATGAGAGGGTGCTGGAGAACGGGCTGGTGGACGGCCATGCCTACACTCTCATAGGAATCAGGAAGGTGGGTGGAACCACACCCCTCAGTTTCCCTGCAACCTCCCTCTTTCTCCCAGGGCTTCTCACCAATGCCTGGGGTCATCTTGGTGAATGTTATTATCTGTGCCAGTCGTGGGGGGCGGGGCATAGATTCTCTGGAGGGTCCTCTAGGGCCTGCCAAAGCAGGTGGTGTGCCCCCTATTCTTCTGTACCTATTTTCTGGGGTGAAGTGGTGAGTCCAGCTTCTGCTGCCATCACCGCACCATCCCAACCTCTCTTCCCACAGGGAAGCCCCAGCCAACTGGCCATCTCTCCCTGCTGTGGCTTACAACCCTTCCTTGAGCTTCACTTTGCTCTGGGCTGCCTGTGAGAGCCACTATAACTGGGTCTCCCCTCCCAAATGCCTGCTTCTTTCTCACTTGCTCCTGTTCAACAGTCTCCCAGTTTCCGTCCACTGCTATTTACCTGTTGAGCTCTATTGAGCATTGACGGAAAGAAGAATCAGAAAGAGACACTGCCTTATGGTCAAGTATGGAGACAAACCATAAGGAAGAAAGTAGAAACTGAGAGAAGAAAGCATAGACGAAAGGCTTTAGGGGTTCAGAGGTAGGAGAGAAGACATTCACCTGGTTGGGTTGGAGTAGAGTTAGAAAAGGCTTAATAGAGAAGGTGATATTGAGTTGGTCCCCAAAGGATGGGTAGATCTGTATGAGGAGAGAAGGGAATTCCTGGCAGAGTGTGCAAAGTGTGGAGGTAAAAAATCAGCAGGTTCTATTTTAAAGAAACTCTGATATCCTCTAGAAAGCTTGACTTCCCAAAAGTTCTCCAATTCCCTTTAATTCTGTTTCAGATTTCTTGAACTCAACTCACACCTGACTTCTTCTTCCTCCTAGATCTCCATCAATCATGTTTGTGTGTGTCCTAAAAGCTTTTAATTTTTCATATCCATTTAACAAAATGTATATTTTGTTAATATTCACATGTTTCTATTTATATATTTTTATATTTATTTGATAATATTTAACCAAATTTAGCACTTATTATGTGCTAAATACTCTCCTAGCTGCTTTACAAACATTAACTCAATCCTCACAACCACCCTCCAAGTCGCTGTCTTCATGTCCTAGGGCTGCCACAATAAACTGCCACAACAAAGTGGATGGCTTAAAACCACAGAATTTATTCTTTCATAGTTCTGAAGGCCAGAGTCATTCAGGCCTCACTCCCTCCGAAGGCTCTGGGGCAGAGTCTTTCCTGGCCTCTTACAGCCAATGGCGGCTCCCAGGATCCCTCGGCTTGGGAAGCATAGCTCCAATCTTTGCCTCGTCTTCACACGGCCTTCTCCCCTGTCTTCTCCCCCTTTTGTTTTCTTGTTATTAGATTTAAGACCCACCCTAATCCGGGGTGATTTCATCACAAGATTTTTCACTTAATTACATCTTCGAAGACCCTTTTTACAAATAGGGTCTTTGCAGATGTAATTAAGTGAAAGATCACATCAACAGGTTCTGGATAGATACATATTTTAAGGGGTCACCATTCAACCTTTTTTTTTTAACTTTTAATTAAGTTTATTGGGGTAACATTGGTTAATACCATTATATAATTTTTAGGTGTACATTATAATTTGACATCTGTATATCCTATTGTGTGTTTACCACCCAAAGTCCAGTTTCCTTCAGGTACCATATATTTGATCCCCTTTAACTACTTTACCCTCTCCCTAAACCCTATATTTGACCCCCTTTACCCCATCTACCTCCCTCCTCCTCCCCCACCCCACTAGTAACCACTAGTCTATAGTCCATGTCCATGAGTCTCTGTTTGTTTGTCCTGTTCATTTGTTGCTTTTAGGTTTATATCCCACATATAAGTGGTATCATGTGATTTTCAACTTTTTCTGGCTGGCTTATTTTGCTTAGCATGATTATCTCAGGGTCCACCCATGTTGTCACAAATAGCACTATTTCATCTCTTTTTATGGGAGTAACATTCCATTGTATATATATACCACAGCTTCTTTATCTAATCCTCTATCATAGGACACTTCGGTTGCTTTCCTGTCCTGGCCACCATGAATAATGCTGCTATGAACATCGGTGTGCAAATTATCTTTTTGGATATGGGTTTTCAAGTCTTTGGGGTAAATACAGTAGAGGGATTGCTGGATCATACGGTAGATCAATTCTTAGTTTTTTGAGGAATCTCCATACTGTTTTCCATAGTGGCTGACCCAGTTTGT